ACGTCAGTAAGGAGAGAAGAGCTCTGCAGGCACCTGACACCTCAGAGCGGGCCTGGCAGCTGTGCTAGGCTGCTGTAGAGCTGAGGGGGTCTTGGTGTTTGAAGATCATTTGGTTTTCTAGACTGTAGTTCTCATTCTTAACATGTTGAGAGTTGCCTTGCCCTTGTGAGTGCTGGTTTGAGGTCTGGTGTCCATGCAACTCAGAGGCCAGGATGTTCAGAAATTAAGGCCTAGACATACATGCAGTCAGGTTGAGGAACAGAAAAAACACTTGTGTAGGGATATCTGTGTTGGAATAAGGGACTGAGGAAGGAATTTCTTTAGAAATTGAGTCCGGTCTGGGAGTTGGTAGCACATGCCTTTAAACCCAGCATTCAGGAGGCAGAGGCTGGCAGCCCTTATGTCTACAGAGTGGTCTACAGAGTAATTTGCAGGACAGCCAGGACTACACAGAGAAATGCTGCCTTGAAAAGCAAAAAAACCAGCCGGGCGGTGGTGGTTCAAGCCTTTAATCCCAGCACTTGGGAGGCAGAGGCAGGCGGATTTCTGAGTTCGAGGCCAGCATGGTCTACAGAGTGAGTTCCAAGACAGCCAGTGCTACACAGAGAAACCCTGTCTCTAAAAACAACAACAAAAACAAAAAGAAAAGCAAAAAACCCAAAACTCTGCCAGATGTGTTAGCATACATCTTTAATCCCAAGTGCTGGACAGAGACAGGTGGATCTCTGTGAATACAAGTTTGGGGCCAGCCTGGTCTACATAATGTGTTTCAGGTCACCTAAGGCTAATAGAGAAACCTTGTCTCAAACTTTCTGTTCTTCCAGAGGACGCACGTTGAGTGCATAGCACCTTTCTACATAACTGCTGATTGAACACACTCTTGAAAGTGCAGCCGTGCACACCTGTCATTCACAAAACCACACAGACATAGATTTAAAAACGTCAAAAGTGAGATTTCTGGGGCTGGGAATGTGGCTCAGAGTTTAGAGCACTTTTGTTCTTCCAGGAATTTCAAAGTTGAATTCTCAATGCCTGTGTCAGCTCCCAATCACGTAATTACAGCTGGAGGAAGAAGAGGGTCCCGTGTCCTCTGCTGGCCTCCACAGGCACCAGGCATGCATGCACAGGCACGTGTGCAGGCAGAGCCCACACACCTGAGTCTGATTGTGGAAAGCTGGTACATGTATCACGCCCGTGCTCCCTCAGGTGGTGATCTTTGTGATGTCTGTGCAGCGCTGCATCGCCCTGGCCCAGCTTCTAGTGGAGCAGAACTTCCCAGCCATTGCTATCCACCGTGGAATGCCCCAGGAGGAGAGGTGGGTTAGAAGCGGGCAGGCGGGTGGCCATGTGTCCTTGTGTGTGTGTCCGTCTGCCCATTGTCTGTGTCCTGTCATGAAGGGGAAATGGTGTGGAGAGAAAGGAGTCTCAACCCTCTCATTTTCTCTCACAAAGGCTCTCTCGGTATCAGCAGTTCAAAGATTTTCAGCGGAGGATTCTTGTGGCTACCACCCTGTTTGGCCGAGGCATGGACATTGAGCGTGTGAACATCGCTCTCAACTATGACATGCCAGAGGACTCGGACACCTACCTGCACAGGGTAAGCTGTCCACCCTCACCCCACTTCCTGTTTGTGTGCTGTGCACCTTCATCTCCTCTGTCTTCCCTATGAGGCTTGCAGTTTTCCCCTTCTCCTTCCAGGTGGCCAGAGCGGGCCGGTTTGGCACCAAGGGCTTGGTCATCACATTTGTGTTAGATGAGAACGATGGCAAGATCCTAAATGACGTGCAGGACCGTTTTGAGGTCAACATCAGTGAGCTGCCCGATGAGATCGACATTTCCTCCTACAGTGAGTGCTGCCTTCGTGTGTGTGTGTGTGTGTGTGTGTGTGTGTGTGTGTTTCCCATTTTGTATCTTATTGTAACTGACTGTTTTTTCTTCAGTTGAGCAGACACGATAGAGGATTCACCCACTCTGGACTGTGGCAGTCTGTTGTAGAAGAGGACACAGGGGTCAGGAGGAAACACTACCGGCCACCCCTGACGCCTCGGCCCACCCTATCTATGCTTCTCTGTCACCACCACTCCTAAACCTAGTCCTGATTTATCAGAGTTGTTTTTTTGTTTGTTTTTGTTTTTGAACAAAACTAAGAATGAAACAACTGTGTCTGTGGTGTCTGTAGTTGCTCTGTTTAGGGCTTGAACCAGGGTCACTCTGAGGGCTGTGAGCCCTATTGTGGGGCAGCAGAGTCATAGTGAGGTAGGGCCCACACCCCATAGCCTGTGGCTACTCAGCTGCCTTCTCTTCCTGGTTTCACTCACTTTCTAAAGTGGCTGTGGATGTGAGGCTGGGGCACTGCTGGGGGTCAGGAGGTAAAGAGCAAGCTCCATGTCCTGGTCCCTGGTCTCCTTCAGCTGAATTTCTTATATGAGGGCCTGTGCCTCCCAGGCATCCTGCCCTTATAAGTGGGGGCATGATAGAGCCCGCCCAGGGGCGAGCATATGTCTGCGAGAGTGTACACACACACACACACACACACACACACACACACACACACACTCCTGCAAACTTAGCTCTGCAAAGAGCCTGGAGTCTCTGGCTGGGATTAAAGACAGTGTCAGCCAGGGCAGGGCCGGGAAGCCTTGGAAGCTGTGGGAGAGGTCTGGCCTGTCTTCGTTTTCTCATTTTGGTTTCAAGTTCAGAAATTTGTACGTGAAGCCTAGGTAGCTTATGAGCTCAGACATGGATCTGTGTCTGTGGAGCAGGCCTGTTCTAGGATTATCTTGAGGTTCTTGGCAGTGTGGCTGGGATCCCCGGAGGGGCGGCAGCAGGAGGTGGGAGGTGGAAGTAACTGCAGCACAGCCGCTGCCTGCACTGCTGCACCCGGTGCAGACATCAATTGGTCTTCAGGGTCAGGCACTGCTAAGGCACCGCGTGGGCCCCCGCCCGGTCTGGCTTGACAGAGGCTGAAACTTGTGTTGCTGGTTTGAGATTTCAGATGCACACAACTGCAGTTGTACCGTCAGCTTCAGCACTAAAATTGTTGTGAGGGAGGCCACGTGTGTGGGCGTGGCTCAGAAGGGGTCAGTGGTATGACACTGGGTCACGGAGGTGGTGGGGTGGTGGTGGGAGAATGGATGTCTTCAAAAAGAGCACAGGCCTTCTGGGGAAGAGCAGCTGCCCCTGCTCAAAGGTATGAGAAAAAGTCTCCCCTTCAGTGCCGCTGGCTGCACCTCTCTATGTCTCCCTGGGTTATCAAAGAGGAGCATGGTCTCTGCACACAAGAGCTTTCCCACAGTCGGGGTCTCTCATCAGGCCGAACTGCCTTTACATATGGCCAAACGCCTCAGTCTCTGTTTTGTTCTTATAATTTTGAGAATACTTTATTGTATGTGTACAAGTTTTGACAGCATCTATCTAAATGTATTAAATGTGCATTGCCTGTGGATGCCAGCAGAGGGCACTAGAGGGCACCCTGGAGCGGGTCACAGATGGCTGTGAGCCACCTGACTCAGTGCTGTGCCTCAAAGCTGGGTTTTCTGCAAGTTCTCTTGCTGCTTAGCCCTCTGCTCCTGAGATCCTCGTTTCTGAAGATATCTGGCTGCCCCATCCTGGTGGGAAGGGATGGATGGATGTTCACAGCGCAAGCCAGAAGACTTGAAGCCTTGCTAGGTTTCCCCACTGAAGACAATTACCATTAGAGTTCCCTTTGCCCAGTCATGTGTGCTGGATAGTTTTATATGTCAGCTTGACACAAGCTAGGCCCATCACAGGAGGGAGCCTCAGTTAAGAAAATTCCTCCATAGGATTGGGCTGCAGGCAAGCCTGTAAGGCATTTTCTTAATTAGTGAGTGATGGAGAAGGGCCCAGCCCTTCTCCCTGGGCTGGTGGTCCTGGGTTCTATAAGAAAGCAGGACTGAGCACATTCTTGAAAAGGGGAGGGGGGAGGGGGAAAGAATGTGTCATGGGGCTGGGACGAAAAAGGAGACAGGTTAGGGGCTGTAAAGTGAATAATGGAAAAAATGAAAGTCTGACTTCTGGATGTGGAGATACATGCCTTTGATACCAGTACTTGAGAGGCATAGGTAGGCAGATCTCTATGAGTTTAAAGCCAGTCTGGTCTGCGAGAGCTGTCAGAGAAACCCAATCCTGTCTCGAAAAATCACAGTGGTAGAGATTGAGGGTTGGGGGAGAAGTCTGAGCAAGCCAGTAAGTAGTCCTCTTCCATGGCCTTTTCATCAACTCCTGCCTCCATGTTCCTGCCATGTTTGACTTCCTGTCCTGACATCCTTCAGTGATGAACAGTGATGTGGAAGTGTAACCCCAATAAACTCCCTCCTCCCCAAGTTTCCTTGGTCATGGTGTTTATCACGGTAATAGAAACCTCTACAGAAACATGTCACTGTGAGGTTGGTTTTCACACAGTACAGTGTCCACAAAAGCCCTAGAGAGTGAAGGCAACCCCTTAATACTTCCAAAACACCAATACAGCTGCTGCCCTCTTCCAGTCATCTCTAGAAACATTCTTGCAGGTGGCGGCTGCAGTAGGTGCTAAGGAGCCCCGGATCTATCTAAAAAAGAGCCAGATGGTGGGGCTGGAGAGATGGCTCAGTAGTTAAGAGCACTGGCAGCTCTCGCAGAGGACAGGAGTTTGGTTCATAGCACACACGTGGCAGCTCACAACCATCTGTATTTCCAGTTCCAGGGGAGGGTCTGTCGCCTTCTTAGGGCCTCCATGGGCACTCCATACAGGTGGTGCACAGATATGTATACAGTCAAAGTGCTCATACATAAAGTACGATTTAAAGTCTCAAAAAAAAAAAGATTCAGATAGTGTTTTCTGTGGGTAATGTTGCTCTGTGGATACTGCATGCATATGGTCCAGAGATGTGTGCGCAAGCAAAACACTCATATACATAGGAATAAATCAGAGGTTGGAGAGATGGCTCAGTGGTTAAGGGCACTGGCTCATCTTCTAGAGGAGCCAGGTTCAAGCCTCAGCACTCACACCCCGGCTCACAACTGTCTGAAACTCCAGTTCCAGAGACTCCAACATCCTCACGCAGACATACATGTAGACAAAACACCAATCCACATGAAATAAAAATAATTTAAATATATATTATTGGGATACAGAGATGGCTCAGAGGTTAAGAGCATTGATGGTTTTTCCAGAGGTCCTGAGTTCAATTTCCAATAACCACATGGTGGCTCACAACCATCTACAATGAAATCCGATGCCCTCTTCTGGTATGTCTGAAGAGCTACAGTGTACTCACATACATAAAATAAATAATTAAAAAATATATATATAGTTATTGAGTACCACATAGTAGATTATGAGGTGTCTGAGAGACTGCATGCCTCCCTGGAAGCAAAAGCTAACAATGCCCATGGGCTTTTATTATTTTCACATATATGCTTTCGTTGCACACTCGAAGGTTGGACAGACCTGCTCACTTCAGCTCCCTGCCAGTTAAACAGAACCCCCTTCTGGCAGAAGCCTGTTTCAAATCTGGCGAATGCTTACAAGGAAAGCATGCAGTTGCAGTTATCAACTGAGCATTCCCCACAAGCACTGGATCTCAGATACAAGCTCACTGACAGTGGCTTTATCCTGGGTGCTGCCTTGGGAGCATCCGGTGACGTGTGTGTGTGTGTGTGTGTGTGTGTGTGTGTGTGTGTGTGTATGTGTGTGTGTGCGCGCGCGCTCTTGTCTCTGCTCTTCGGAATGGTCCTGAGCTGTCTTGTGCTCACAATGACCTGGGGAACATGCTCAGAGCCCCGGGCCACTAGCAAGAATCTAAGCCGAGTTGTTTGACAGCAACTGAAATGCAAGCAAGCTTTGCAGTTGTTTGTCATCATGGCAGCTGGGTTTTTCAATGCTCTGCCACTGTATATGAGATATATATATTTCAAGGTTCTGTGTAGCTCCAGTTGTCCTGGAACTCCCTGTGTTGGCCCAGGTGACCTAGAACTCCAAAGACCTGCTACCTCTGTCCCCATCACACTCTAGTGCTGGGTTTAAAGGCATGGGCACCACACCAAGGTTTTAATGACACCTTGACCGGCTTTAATGATCAATTCTTTAAAGGTTGTCATTCCTGACCTAGGATTTCCCAAATGTCTTGTAACAATTTCAGAGGTGTCATGAAAGAGATATGCTTTTGACAGCGGTGTGGTTCCCTGTTTTCCTTGGCTTGTTCAAATCACGTGGGTGTACTCATAGTACCAAGTTCCACAGCCAGGAGAGAGCCGCCTGCAGGCCATCTGTGGAACTGCAACCACATATCCTGATCAGTATTGCAGCCTACCTGGAGCTGTGAGGGTAACAACAGCAGTGAAGCAGGGAAGCGCGGTCAGCTCGCGTCTAAAGCACCATCTTCACAGAGCTTGCAGCTTTTTTGGACAGCAGAGATATTGAGGCATCCCCCAGGAGGTGAGGGGGGGGGAAGGCTGGACTCAGGATGTAAACAAGCACATTTCTGAGAAAGTGAAACTGGCCCGATCCACAAGCATCTTCTCCTGGAGTTACCTCTGGAGGACTCTGAGCAGCCCAGAGGAGATTCTCAGAGTTCCCGGGTCCCAGCTGTCATGAGTCTTCACCCGGGTTGTGTGAGCTGTCTTTGAGTCACCCGCTTGTCCTGTAAGTAACTGTCTTAGGGTTTTACTGCTGTGAACAGACCCCAGGACCAAGAAAACTCTTATAAGGACAACATTTAATTGGGGCTGGCTTACAGGGTCAGAGGTTCAGTCCATTATCATCAAGGCGGGAGCATGGCCGCTTTCAGGCAGGCATGGCCCTGGAGAGAGTTCTACATCTTTATCTGAAGGCTGCTAGGAGAAGACCTAGTGTGGTTAGGAGGAGGGTCTCATTGCCCATCCCCACAGTGACACACTTCCTCCAACAAAGCCACGCCTACTCCAACAAGGATGTACGTCATAACAGTGACTCTCTATGAGCCAATCTTATTCAAACCACCATAGTAGCCCATCACCCCTACTCCCGATAACCCAGTAAAATCTCACTAGCTCACCAAGGTGGACTTGGGCGTCATCTTTACTTTTGTCTGCCCTGGGTTCACATTTTGGGGTGAGAAGAGGGATGTCAAGTCTACGAGGACAATCCTGTCACACAACTCGGGTGCACATTTGAATTTAGCAAGGTGTAATCAGGGAAAACTGCAGGACGGGCTGATGGGTTACAAAGGAGCTGTTCCAATCAGCCCTACCTTTGCTGACAGTTACTCTGATGTGGAAACACTCTAAAGGAAGTGCAGGATGCTCAGGGAACCTTACTGCACCACACGGGTGCCATCAAGACTCACCCTGCATCTGTAGATGCACACAGAAATCCCCCTCCACTTACAAGGATCCAGAGAACACCCCAGAAACAGTAGCTGTACTTCTTTAACTTAAGCCTGGCTTTCCTGGTGCTTAGTGTAACCTGCCTTGTTGCCTACAGACTGTGCAACTGGACAGACTATGATGAATGAATGAAGATGCCAGCCAGCATGTGGCAGACCCTCTGCATCCATTCATACATATGCTACACCCTCTTTCTCAAGGTGTACTGGCTGGTTTTGTGTTAACATGATGCAAGCTGGAGTTATCACAGAGAAAGGAGCTTCTGTTGAAGAAATGCCTCCTTGAGATCCAGCTGTAAGGCATTTTCTCAATTAATGATCAAGAGCAGGAGTGCCCCTTGTGGGTGGTGCCATCCCTGGGCTGGTAGTCCTAGGTTCTATAGGAAAGCAAGCTAAGCAAGCCAGGGGAAGCAAACCAGTAAGCAGCATGCCTCCATGGCCTCTGCATCAGCTCCTGCTTCCTGAACTGCTTGAGTTCCAGTCCTGACTTCCTTTGGTGATGAACAGCAATTTGGAAGTGTAAGCTGGATAAACCCTTTCCTCCTCAACTTGTTTTGTGCAGGAATAGAAACCCTGACTCAGACAAACCTAGT